TGTGCGTATGTGTTTTAAAATTTCCAAACTCTGTTTAAAAATAGATTGAAAAATGTAGCCAGGTACATCTCAGATAACCAGTATCTAATCTTCCTTTTTCTAACTACAACCAAAATTGGAGACACATGTGACATAGTGTTAAGAAAGAAGGAACATGCTGTGTAAAATTAAGCAATGAGGTTTCAGGCTCAAAATTGGTTTTTAATAGTCTCTGAAATTACGCCTCCCAATGCCTCTTCCTCCTCACATATCTTGATTCCTACCACACCTCATAAGAATTCTGTACTGCTCTGAAAGCAGCTCTGGATCTCTCCAATCCTATCATGCTGGCAGCGTTAGAGAGATGAACCAATTTATTTCTTGCTCAAATACAGTGTAGGTGAAATTGCAGGAAAACTGGTATTTTCTTTTGCAATACTCTGAAATGCTGTGACTTCACAGAGCTTGTGAGCAGTACATTTCCCTAGTGAAGGGCACTCCTGCTTCACCTTGGGTCCAGCTCTTCGATGTAGGCTGTCCTCCTTTATTGAAAATGATGGTTTCTCCACTGCACAATAAAGTCTTTTTTTTTCCAGGTGCACACAAAAACACACATTTTCTCCAAGAGCTGACATTACTTTAGGAGGCCTCTCCTCCATCTATCCCCACAACAACAAAACAGTTGTTGATATCAACCATTCAAGGAATTTGTGATTGAATAAGGGCTCGGACATATCTCCTGGCCTAAGCCCAACTAATAAATTAGATTATTTATACAAATGGCCAAATTAAGAGGAAGTAAGCTCTCACAAATTATGAATAAAGAACCCATTGAAAACAACATCATACATTCATCTTAGAAATCTGGACAGTGTTCTGCAAAAGTGTTGACAATATGAGGCTTTTCATCTAATCTAAATCTGCCCAATGCGGATATAAATATTTAATTCACCAATAGGGACTACTAAGATCAGGCTCCAAAAATGTGTATCTTGACTACTCTTTCTGGCACAATTCCTTACAACTTCCTGTTCTTTGCTTAGTTTTAACAAAGTCTTGTTTGGCAACTCCTCAACTGTTTCAATCATTTATAGGAGGGAATCCAGATATTGTACAAACAGCTACTTTCCTGGGCAAATGGTGGCATCACAAGTTGCTTAAATATCCACATCCCATCATTTGAAAGTTTCCTCAAGCAGAGAGGAACTAAGTGCCCCTGGTCTATGAAAAAGCAAAGGAAGCAAGCAGCAGAAAAAGGTGGAGTGAAAGAAGAGAAAGGATAGCTGGGAGGAAGCTGAAAGAAGGTAGGGGAGAGGGAGGTTGTGTTTTTTAAAAAAAATATTGACACCATAATAAAAATCCACTTAAAAAATCAAAACCAAAAAAATAGGACACATTAAATGGTTTTATTTTTCCACATGACAGACTGGCCCCTGAGGAAGGAAGATCGGTGTATGGTTAGAGTGGAAGGAGCTGCAAAGAAAGAAGCAAAAGGATCTGACAAAAGAGGCCACTCTCACCTCTGCTCTTGCTCTGTGACCCATCTCTCCCCGCCACAACTCCAGTTACTTGCTTTTCCCTCCCATCACCTGCCCCAGTCCTGAGCCCAACAGAAACAGCATTGGATCAAGCTTTCCCCTGTTTAAATAAACAGGATAGAGCAACCAGCAGAGAATAGCAGAAACACAGAGACAGGACGAGGTGTAACAAGAGCAGGAACTGAATTCTGGTTCTACAGAAAGCCCAATGTGACCACAAGGCATTTTTAAAAGAAGACACAATGGCTTCACTTAGCCATACTATAACCTTGGCTTTCATTAACAGTGGCTTGGAAGTTGTTGATGTCCACTCTAGGTCTGTGTGTGGATTTTCTAACTCATTCATAAAGTGATTTTTGTAGAAAAACCTTTGGTTTAGCCTAAGTCAACATCTCTGCACGCCAAGACCAGAATGTGAGAAAAAAGGAGGGAAAAGGAGATCATAGAAGAGTTAGTGCTAACATGCTTACCCACAATTTCAAAAATTTGGTGGACGAATGCCTAAACAATGCCATATAAAGTCTTCATGGGAAAAATATAGAAGTAAATTAGCCAGTGCATTTTCATGATAAGTATAACTTGGTATGGAATTCATAAATAAACATGAGCTGTACCAACAGATCTATATGGCCGTCCTTGTCAGCATTTATACAGTACATACTTCTGTATGTACACTATACTACATATATGTCTTTTTGCCTGAGTTTGAAAAAAATAAGGGTGTTTGTGTGCATATGTGTGCATGTGACTATGTGTAAAACTGAGGACCAACTTGGTGTAGTGGTTAAGGCCTCAAGAATCTGTGAGTTCTAGCCCCAATTTAGGCCTAAAGCCAGCTGGGTAACCTTGGTGCAATCATTTTCTCTCAGCCCCTGAGAGAAGGAAGCAATGGCAAACCACTTCTGAAATTCTTTGCCAAGAAAACTGCAAAACTTTGTCCAGGGGCTCTCCGAGAACTGGATTTGACTAACAAGTCAAAAATTGTGTAAAGCTAAACAAATGAGGTTTTTAAATGTACTTATATATACATATTACTTATATGAATAATATATAAAGTGTGATGTATGCAAATGGATGCAGTGGGTCATTTCCAGGCCCCGAGGTCACCTGTGCTGAGAAGACAGTTATTTCCACAGCTATGCTCTTTGGCATATTCACCCATCCTGCTTTCCCACCACAATATCGTCTGCATTTTCTCTCCCCTTTTTATAAACCAATAATTTAGTGCCCTTTGCTGGTTTGGTGTATTCTCAGTGCTGTTAACTCTGAGGGGTCAGGACTGGTTACACCCTGAGATGAGTGTTGATTGATTTGTTTCGGCACCATCAGGTAGCTGGAAGGAAAAGGGGCAGGAATGAATGTTAAGAAGTTAAGAGGCCACGTCTGCCCTGCATCACTCCATTTCATCTGTGAGGAGAAACCAAAGGGATATTAGCATGGAGGGAGGGGGATACACCCTGAATGATTTATCCCTCCCACATGGAACCCAAGCCCCAGTGGAGAGTGGGTAAGGTATGAAGCAAGGGAGAGCCAACCTCTCCACACACCCCCAAATAACAGAACAGGAAAGGAGAGGGTGTATCAGTTGCTGACCCAGGGAGGAAGGACATCCCAAGCTGGCAATTCAGTAGCTCTTATCAAGCTTGCCAGGTGAGACTTACTAGGCTTGATTAGGATCCGTGATACAAAGAGAAATAGATTTAAGTCAGGCCCCGTGAAGCTAGTCTGAAATGAAAAGTTTCTTCCTTAATCGACCGCCACAACATTACAGGATCCAGTTTTAATTCAGATTCCTCAGCAAGTCCTAGTGTTGAGAAACTAGTTCAGAGAGGGGCAGTTATACCGCACCCACCTCCGCAACTATTCAATAGGAATGAAAAAAAGATGGGTTCCGGGAGACAGGGGCAGCTTGTAATAAAGAAAACTGTCCTGTTTCCAGTTTTCACAATTATCTTACAAGCCAGAAAATCAAACTTTTCTTAAGCTCAATTGATTACATACTTGTGTTTTTATTTTTTTTAAATCACGCATCCTTTTTGAGAAAAATAATTGAATTATCTTAATTTTTTAAGGGATGTCTACCTTGATCTCCTCTTTTTCCAAGAAAGAGAACAGCTGTCAAGTTTCACCTTAAATATCTTAGTCTGGATGATGGTACAAGTGCATACATGGCCACATTCAATAAATATGCGTAGACATACTTATAAGGCCATTGATATATCATTCACACCATGTGGCCTCTCATACAGACACTCAAAACCGAAATGTACCTATACACCCAAATGGCCAGTTGAGCTAAGCATCATTCAGAGCATGTGTGTGTGTATGCAAAAACTCTTAACCTCAGTGCTTGAGGACAGCCATGTGGCAGAATCATTTCCCACTTGCCTCTCCTCTGTACCCTTCGTCCTGCTGCCATGGCTACATTCAAAACAGGTTCCCACCTCCCACCACCCAGATGATTTAGCTCTAATACAAAGCACACAAAACCACCTCCAAGCACACACCAAAACATTGAGACATGCATGTGTGTACATACAGAGAGTCATGTGCATGCACACCAACATGGAGATAGCCATATGGGCATATAGTCCATATATACATGGATGCAATGCATATATATATGCAGATCATATGAAGCATGAATATGTATGTATGTATATCCATATGTCTATATAGATATAGATAAGATAGAGTGTGGGTATATCTTTTTGATGGGACACTCACATAAGGGTTAGCCAAATGCTATAGAGCCATACGTATGTACAAAAACAAATCTACAACAATCAGAAACATACAGTGCATGTTAGGAGCATGTATTTCAAACCCCTGCACCTTCCATATGCAATCATGGTTGGTCTTATATGCGATGAATTTTTATTTTTCTTAAATTTGGCTTCATGGGAGCTGGACTGAAATATGATCCTGGAAAAGACCAATGCTAGGCAATATTTAGCTCTAAATTCTCAAAGGTGATGGAGGAATCAGGTAATAATATAAAAAGGAACTGGTATTCAACCTTCATCCAAATATTATCCCCCAAATTTAAGCTAGACCTTTGGGCCTGGTCATGTACTTGGCACCCAAGGATACAAACTACTGGATGGCAAGAAAAAGTGGAGAAATGAAAACAGTGATAATCCAACACAAGGTGAGTTGACAATGGAACAATTAGGGTTCCTCTTGGCCAGCTTTCCAGAAGTAATGCATTAGATTCAATCCCATTCTTAGAACTTGGGAATTGGGTGAGCTGTATTATTCTTTTAGCCATTGAAATCCCCTGGCACAAGAGGCACTATAATCAAGACTTGTTTCTTGTTTCAGTGCTAAGTAGTATTTTTCCTAAGTAGATCCCCTGCTCTGTGCCAGTAGATGGGTGTGCCAGCCTGTGGAATCTCTCCTCCCTGGGTCAGGTGGGGATTTCATTTGGATCAAGAGCAGAAACAAGACGATGCACTGTAATACAATGTGAAATGAACTCACTGTAGGGGACACAGTCGTATTGGACCTCCAAGTACTTGTAGGTGCCAGGGCAAGGGTCCGGGAAAGCATCTGAGCCAGCCACCACTACACACTGTGTCCGATTATTGCACCTGAAAGGCAAAGGAAAATGAGGAAATATTATTAAGGCAGAGACATAATGCAGTTCTAAGGGGAGCCACTAGATGGAACTGACTGACACTTTTAATTGCAGTTGCTTTCCAGAACTTTCAAAAAAACAAAAACAAAAAGCACCGTTATTCAAAGCTTCAGATGCATCTCAAATAAAACAAAATATGTCTATCCTAATGTACACATAGGGACTCTTCCACTCAACCCACAACAGAACTGGTCCGCTGAAAACTTGTCAGAAATCAGAAAATACTCTTCCTTGAAACAAGGGAAGATTATAGGCCGACTACTGTAGTGGCTGGGTACAGCCTGAGAGGCAGATCTCAACACAGAACATCTCAAGCATATTCAAATAAAATTCAAATATTGAAGTTTTCTATTTAATGCTTATCCAGAAACCTATACATACACGTTAATGCTTGAGCTATATTTCTTTCCAGTCAAGACCAAACATGTATTTGTACAAGTCCTGAAGAAGATGCATAACTCCTGTATAGCACTATTGTTCAGACATGGACATTGTCTTATAGGGGCAACATACAATTCAGATAGTTCCTCCCCTGCTGTTGGTTAATAGGTCCATCCGGCCCAGTATAAGAAATGTACTATAAAAAAAATCAAACTTACTACATCTTAAAAACAAGCACAAAATGGGGGAAAGTGGGGAAGGGGGAGTATGGATGAGCAAATTTGATCTGGTACATTTGGGGATCAGGTAATAATGAACATTATTATCTGATCCCAAAATGTAACCAGCCAAAAATTAAAACCTGTATATGCTTAAAAAAAAAAAAAAAAAGCATTCCCCAACCTATCCTTCCAGATATAATCTGACATTTCAAGGAAGCAGTCTCCTCACAGCCTGTTGCTAAATAATTCGGATCTTAGCAGAATGGAGGTCCAGAAGGAGAACTAAGAATCACGGGCTCCTTATTTCCCACTTCGTTAGCTTCTGCCACCTGCTCTCCTCAAAAGGCTGATGCAACAGACAAGAGAGGTTGGAGGGGGACTCCCAGGGGCTGTCGGCTGCCAAAGCAACTGGAGCCGGATTCAGCTTAGGCCTACTGGGACCAAACAGGCACCACCTGCTTTCACAGAATCTCAGTTTACCTGTAAAATAAGTTGGACAAGTTTAGGGCAGCAGTGCTTCTAGGCCTGCCCAGCCCCATCAGTCAGTATCTGGTCAGGTGGTTATATCATTCTATTTGGAAAATCCACATATTATGTCCCTCATCTCTGAATGCTTCATTCAAAGGACCAAAATGTGAGATTTGAGGAATGCAGTTCAGAGAAAGACTACAATACATCTAACTGCAAGCTTAGGAGATAGGTCAAGATTTAAAAAAAAAACCTTGTGGGGAAAGAAGAATTAAATTCAGTAATAAAATTGTTACTGGTGATAGTTGAGTCAAAATTAAGCAATATAAATTTTTCTTGAATCTATAATGAGGTGCACATCTGTTTCTCACCAAGAACTCTGCAAGAGTTGGGAAGCTCTTTCTCTGAGAAAGTGTTCTTTAGGCAGAGGGAATCTTGTACATAGAAAAAAAAATTACACACACACACACACACACACCAAGCTAAAAACTGGCTATTCAAAGAAAGTTTTTTGATTGTATATAATGTTGTGAACTGCAACTTCTCACATGACTCCTTTCAGCATTAGAATTCTAACAAAAACCACAGTTTTAAAGAGAAAAACAAATTAGCTTGCTTAGGAAAACTTTCAGACAAGGCCTAGAGGCATCAGAATACAAGTATCTTGAAAATAGTTTCTATTGTTTGCTAACCTTTTGAGTTTTGCAATTGCTGACAGTTATACTTTGAATTATCCCATTTCTTCATATAGTAAGCCATTTCAAGATTGTCTAATGGGGAAAACAACGTGAGTATGCTATTAATAGCAAAAGGGGAAGTGGTATTGAAAAGGCTGGAGCACTATCTGGGAAGTGAATCCTACTGTTTCACAACTGTAAAATGGAGGCCAGATCTACTGTCCATAAACCATGAGAAAGAACAGAACTGGAGTTATTAGAGAATAATAGCGGGAAAAGACAAAGGAAGCCAAGAGCAAAGTTCACACACTATAACTGGGTGGAAAAATGCATGTCACTGGAGTTAAAATGCAGGAACAGAGCAAATAATTCTATTTTTAGTTGTTATTGTTGTTTTTGCTTCCTTGAAGTCAGTGTTGACTCTTGGGGTGACTCCCTGGAGAAATTTTCTTGGCAAGATTCCAGAAATGGTTTGCCATTTCCTCTTTCCTAAGGCCGAGAGAGTGATTGGCCCGAGAACATGCTGAAGATGGAAATAGAAGTCACAGTCTCCTGGTTTTGTAGCCTGGTATCTTGACCCCCACACCAAACTGGCTCTCTGTTTTTTGTCAGAGGTTTTTAGAATTTGTATTGTTTTGTTGGCTATGTTGGGTTGGAAGTACTTTATGTTTCTCGAACCATACAGTGTAAGGATTGGGATGTACCATGGAGATCCCCTAGCCTAGTCCAAGTTCCTGTCCAGTGCAGGAATGCACTGCCACAGCATCTCCAACAGATGGCCACCCAGTCTCTCTTTAAGTAATTCCAATGGAGGAGGGTCCCAAGACCCTCCGATATCCTGTTGAACAACTCTTCCTATTTTGAAGTCCTTTCTTACAGCCAATCAATACCTACATTGTTGTAATGTAAATGATTTTTGTCCTATCTTCTGAAATACTCTAAATAATTCTGCCCAGACTTCTACATGACAGTCCTTCAGATACTTAAAAGACAGTTATCATGTTTCCCTGCAGTCTTTTCTCCAAATTAAGCATATTGCCTAATGTTCCTTCTATAATTTCTCTTCCAGACTCCTCATCATTTTGGATGCCTCTCCTTTGAACATACTTTAATTTGTCAATGCCCTTCCTAAATTGCAGCACCCGGAACTGGACACAATATTCTAGATGTTATCTGAATCTACCGTATGTAGGATAGAGATGAATGATTACTTTTCTTGGCTTCTTTCATTCCTATACTCATGCCTTTCATTTTTCTTACTCCAATGAAACACTACATTTGTCCCCGTTGAAATGTATCTTGCTGATTTCTTCTCCAACCTGTCAAGAGCCTTCTGATTTGATACCATCTTTTAAAGTGTTTGTTGTTTCTCTGTCTTTGGGTGATCCAAATATATTACTAATATCTCCTCCAAGTCACTTACAAATAAGTCGAAGAGTATAGAGCCTAAGAGAGAGCTTCACAATATGCTGCTCCACACATTCTCCTAGATTGAACACAAGACTATGCTCATTGGGTGTGATTTGTTCAATCAGTCTGTATCTAGCTCATGGCAATACAATCTGGTCTATATTAAAAAATCTGCTTAAAAAACTGTTCCATACTTTTGCCCACCCCCTCCAACCAGTCTGTAATTATTTGGATCTTCTCCCCCACCCCCCTCAATCATTCAACTTATAACCAGCTGTATTTGAGGACTCTTGGTGCTTGATAATAATAATGCAACAAAAATGTCCATATAATACAAATAAGTTATCCATAAATAAATAACAATATTCCAACCAATCAAAGCCCAAAGCAAGTAAAAATAATAAAGCAAACTAAATGACACCTATTCAGGCTACAAAAGCTCTTTGGAAGAGTTTCATTTTCAGCATTTTCCAAGAACACACCAAGAGGGACAGCCAGATCTTAATTGGGACGGTGATGCTGTTCCAAAAAAATAGGCCTTCCATGCTTCAGTCCCCCTCGTGGAAGTGGGGTACTACCAACAGTTTTTCCTGAACAAATGAGTTGGTCAGTTCAATTCAGGCTGGAGAATGAAGTCTTGGAGGTATCTAAGTGTCAAATCATGTAGGAATTTATAAGTCTGAACCAACCACTTCAACTGTACCCAGAAGCCTTTTAGAAATTAATGCAGGGCCTTGTAAAATATTCCTGATGATGTGTGCCACTAACAAGCAAGAGGCTGCAGTTTGAACCAATTGTAGCTTCTAGATGCTCTTAAATGCTGACCCATGTAGAGTTCACTGCAGGTGATGAAGGCATGAATTACGATAGCGAGGAACAACATTTGTCCTCTTCCAATCCTCTGGCTGTACACCTGTCCTCGATGATTTTTCAAAGATCACAAAAAGGCATCCTGAAATGAAACCCCTTTAAGACTCTTGGATGAAAATCATTCATTTTTTAAGATTTCAAATATTAAATTGGCCAATCTTTTATCACATTTTTTTTTTTTTTTGCTTATAAGTGACTATTCTGAAAAAAGCTCTCTATCTTGGAAGACAAGAGAAAAATATTGGTTCTAAAATAAATACTGCACAGGGGATGCTGACGATATAAAAGAAATGAAAAACTGCAGTATACTGAATAAAGATGTTCCCATCACTGGAACATGGGGGGAAAATGGGGGTGGGGGGGCAGTGGAGGGCTTCTAGCGGTTTCACAACAGGTTTGGTGAGCGCGTGCTTCACCTGAACCCATGCAAACCTGTAGCAGGTTTCCTCCCCCCTGGAGGGGGGAAATAAATATTCTGAATATCTCTGTTTCTAAAGAAACAATCCTAACTCCCAGGTCCACTAATTGGGGGAGTTCAGAATTTGACCAGAATCCAGGGCAAACTGGAGACTCTTTGGATCCAAAATCTCTTCATGTTCTGAAGCTCCCAATGTGAGCTCACTGACCACCAGTCAAGAATTGCTAACTTAATCCTCCCCTTAATATTGCAAAAGGCATAAGCAAGAATTGGTAAGGAATTTCCTGGGGAAAAATATTGCCGAATTATGGCCTTTTATGTAAGTGTGTGTGTGTGTGTACTCTTGTGTGCACCTTTGAGTCAGTCTTGACTCCTGGCAATTTTCTGGACAAATATCTGCACTTTGCATGACAATGTTTTCAGAAGTGGTTTGTCCATGTATTCTTCCTGGGGCTGAAACAGAGTGATTGACCAAACTCACCCACCTGGTTTTCATACCTAAAGCAAGACTAGAACTCATAGTCTCCTAGATCAGAGGTCTCCAACCTTGGCCACTTTAAGCCTAGTGGACTTCAACTCCCAGAATTGGGAGTTGAAGTCCACCAGGCTTAAAATGACCAAGGTTGGAGACCCCTGTCCTAGATTATATCTGGATATTACTGCAAACTGGCTTTCAAACAAATTCCTATACTTCATCTATTTAGCAGATATTCCACTTAAGCACATTTTAAAAGAATGAAGTATTTAAATAAAGCTATGAAAAAGACATAAAGTAAAAAAAAAAAGTTGTGTTTTCAGAATTCAGTATCACTTGCCCAAGTTTACAATGATGGTCATGCTGTATATCTTACAACCAGATCTAAATTTCGCTTAGTTTAGGGAAAAGGAATGACAGATGCAGCTCATTAAATGGACACTTCATCTCTCTCACTTGCCTGAAGACAATTGGGAGCCTTATGTTTTGACTACATGTCATCCTGCTACACAATGCACTAAGAAGAGCAACTAGATGCATCCTAATCTCTATGGCAATGGAAAAACAGTTGCTAACCATCTTCCCCATGGCACCTTTTGTATACCTAAATACTGGTATCTTGTTTTTTTTTCTCCAGACTGACCATTCCAAATTCCTTCAATCTGTCCTCACGGAAGTATGTCTTCAAATACCTGTTATCATTCTTGTCGTTCTCCTCTGGATATGTTCTAACCTGGTGGTTCTCCACCTGTGTGTCAACTAAAAAGATGCTCCTTTGGTCTTTTTAGCTGCCAGAAAAAGGGAGTGGGGGAAAACAAGGCATTCTTGAAATGCCTAGATAATCACCTCAGCTGCCCAAAGTTGTCAGAGCATTAGAAGGTAATTGGAGAGCATGATGGATGACTCTTGGAGACGGATGTGTCCCATAGGAGAAGTCAAATCCAGGGGGTGGGGGAAAGACCAGGGTCAAGGGGGAAATGTATGATGTGATTTAGTATCGGCTACACCCAGCCACGCGCCAACATGACAATTTCTAATAAATCAATTTACTTTTTCTGATATGCAGCTAGAGATTTTTGATTCGAAGAGGGTGGATTTGTTGGAGCCCTGACACTGTAGTCCGTGAAGCCTTGAAGAAATGTTATGATTTAAACCCTGCGTTAAGCCCTGGTGGTCTGTGGCCATGATCCGTGACCACAAAAGGTATTTAAAGAGACTTTGTGGTGAAGAAAATGTTGAGAACCACTGTTCTTCTAACCTGTCAATATTCTGGAAATGTAATGGCCAAGACTGTACACAGTACTCCATGTATGGTCCAACTAATGCAGAGCAAAGGGGAATAAGATCTTCATGCACTTGCTACTTCTAAAGCAGTCCAGAATGGCATTAATCATTTTAGTTGCCATGTCACACTGCTGGCTCATGGCTTATTGTCACTGATCACACCCAAGTCATCTTAAATAGTGTAGTGCTTCCAAGCCATCTTCTACATGTCCAATGAATTTTCCCTCCCTACATGTAATACCTTACTTATTTCCCTGTGAGGACATCTTGTTTTTCTCAGACCAGTCCTCCAACCTATGCATATTAAACTGCAATTGTTTTCTGAGGGTTGGCCAGACCTCCCAATATTGTTTCGTAAATGAATTTGAAAAGTAGCCCATCAATCCTATTGCCCAGGTCATTAATAAAAATGTTAATAGTCCTGCCTTGAGACAAATCCTTGCTGGTCCTGCCTGGCTACTGCTCTCTAACTTCATCTAGAGCATTAATACTGAGCGCAGTTAGCCAGTCGGTTCTAGAGCTCCCCTTATCTAGTGCCATCCAAATCCCCCTTGTCAGTGAGAATGTTCTGGGGAACCTTGTCAAAAGCATTGCTGAAATTGAGATAGATTCTAACCACACTATTTCTCATTAAAGTAGTTACCTTGTCAAACTACTTAGATAGAAAGATTTCCTGGAAAGTCTGTGAAAACCTGACCTGTATACATAATGGAATATGTGGAGACTTCAGGGAAATTTTAATGAGGAATAATAAATAGAATAGTTGATGGCTTGTACAAACTTGAATTATTTTAGGGTCAAAACAATGAATGTAGGCTGGCTGAGATTTGAATTGTTGAGCAGTTGTCATTTTCAATGCTGTGAATTCCAAAGTTTTCTCTGTAATTTATTCTGTTTGAGGTGACCCACTCACCCACCCTTTTCTGCTCATTTACTCCAAAACATATGCACGTTCTGTCTTTTGTCATCCTCTCCTGGACAAAGTGGGCTCTGGTATCTATAATGAAACAGATTTTCAAATGTCTTCAGTAAGCTGAAGGTTGTAAGTGGATTTCCTTTTAATTTCATGCAGGGTTCATTATTTGAAATCTAGTTGCAGAAAAACCTTGGTAAACTGAACCAAATACTACTAATACATGACCGTAGCTATACTAGATGATGATGAAGAAGAAGATGATGATGATAGTATTAAATTCTACCTTTACTTTCAAGTGATCAGGAGGAATATAGGATATTCCTTGCTCATCCTTACAATAAAGAAAAGATTCCTTGCATTTTGCTTCAGAGAGTCATCTTGAATTCCAGTATTGTGTGAGAGGTAACAATAGTACATGTGCCAAAATTTTATCATTGTGCATCAGTATAATTATACTCCTCGCTATTATTTTTAAGACATTCAATTGCAAAACTGCTCAGATTTTGCTTATTTGCAACTTCTCCATCTCTACAATATCATTTTTTGGACTTACTAGCATGACAGAGAGAAAGATTATGGAAAAAGGATTGCTCCATAATATTTCCTGGATACTCATAAAGCCATTTACCTTTGGGACATGATTTTGAAGGCGTCCGGCAGGTAGCACTGGACATTCTCCATCTGGAAGGGGTCAGCATCACAGATCTTGTCATCTGTGCGACCATAGTTAGCATTCTCCACCATGATGACATCACTGCCTGGGCAACGCAGCTCAATAGGATAGCCCTCGCATGCCAGTTCCCGCCGAACCAGGCCAAAAGGTAAGCCAGCTCGGCTTAGGCCCGCTGGAATAGAAAAATGAGAGAGAGAGTAAGGAAACAAGTTAGTATGCAACTCAGTCCTGAAATTCGATTCCATCTCCTGATTGCTGGCTGTAATTTTCTTCCCTGTTTAATGAGACCAAAGCCTGAAAAACCTACGGTTATTTTCCACACTGTGGCTACACAGAATAGGAGATAGATAAACCAGAGATTTATTTTTCTCTTATAGTTTCTCTTATATTTTGTTTGTGACCTGCAACATCTCTCTCCACATCTTTTGTTTTCAGTTTCAGTCCTTGATGAGAATTGTAGGGATCTGGAATCCTTTATACCTCCACTGTGGCACATCTGTGGAGGTCTTAAATGTGAAGCTATGTGTGTCCTGGCACCACCCAAGAAGTAAAAAGAAAAACCACTGGCTCCTATTTGTTGGGCTGAGTTGCATATTCAATCTAAACTTTACAGATTCAGGCAGGTATGTCTTTAAAAACCCAGACATGTTTTTCATAAAGCTCTTGGCTTCCCACACCACCCACTTTAGAGACAGCAGCTGAAAAGGGTCTGAGAAAATTCTTTACAATCCTTTTGAATCCTGCAAGGTTTTCAGAGACTGAAGAGGTGGAGGTAGGAGGAAGAGAAGTAAACAAGAGGAAAAACCCTTTGAAGGCCAAACATGTCATTAGGAAAGTTTCCGGAAAGATTGTACTCGATGTGTCTGTTTATTTTTTTTAAAGGGGGATGGGAAAAGATAACAATGGACACAGAGCTTGAAGTTCACATTTGCAGAATTCTATAAGCCAGAGAGACAATGACACCAAGCATCTATCACAACAGTTAGATCTTTGGAACTAGTTCCTAGTCATCAGACAATTGTGGTTAAATATTTATTTTAGAAATCTTTCTATATGAGGTTAAAAAGTCGTGGGGAAGAGGGTGTCCTGGGCCCAGCTCAGAGGTGGTATTCAGCAGGTTCTGACCAGTTCTGGAGAACCGGTAGTGGAAATTTTGAGTAATTCGGAGAACCGACAAATACCACCTCTGGCTGGAGATTTTACAATATCCTTTCCCTGCCATGCCCACCAAGCCACGCCTACAGAACCGGTAGCAAAAAAAATTGAATCCCACCACTGGCCCAGCTATTCCTGGGAATGCTATAGGCAAAAGTTCACTGACACACAATTTAACAATTTTCTTCCTCACTCAGATTCATCCTTCCTGTGCTTTGGAATATCTATCCACCTTCAGAGACTACCTTTATCCCAAAGGTTTCTCCATTGTAAATTTGCTGTAACTGCATACTAATGTCATGTGACGTTCCAGTTACAATGAAAGCTGTCTCAAAAAGGAGATGACTCGTTGCCTAGTGCACAGATGATCAACAGGTCACCTCTTTGCATTATAGTTCTTGTCCTCCAAATGATAAACTAGAAGGATGAGGCAGTGTGGCTTCTTACCTGGCAGGTACTGCTCTCATTTTGTGGTCAGAACTGCTGAAAGGTAAGATGCAGCAGCCCTATAGTATGCGTTCAATTCATCAATCAGAATAGAACTTGAATGGACCTTGGAGGTCTTCTAATGATCTAATCCAACCCCCTGCCCATTTCAGACGGGTGGATGTCCAGTTCTTAAAAACCTCCAGTGATGAAGCACCTACAACTTCTGAAGGCAAGCTGTTCCACTGGTTAATTGTCCTCAATGTTCGGAAGTTTCTCCTTAATTCCAGGATGCTTCTCTCCTTTAGTAATTTCCATCCATTGTTTTTTGTCTTGCCTTTTGGTATTTTGGAAAATAAGTTGACCCCCTCCTCTTTTGGCAGCCCCTCAAATACTGGAATACTGCTAGTCCTTCTTTTTCTCTTCATATGTTTTTTTTTAATCTCCAGGCCCTTAATAATCTTAGTTGCTCTTCTTTGTACTTTTTCCAAAGTCTCAACATCTTTTTCGTAACATGGTGACCAAAACTGGATTCAGTATTCTAGGTATGGTCTTACCAAGGATTTCTAAATCTAATACTTCACCTGATTTTGATTCTATGCCTCTGTTTATACAACCAAGGATTGTATTAGCTTTTTTCATAATCCCTTCAAGGGATGACTAACAAAGACAAGAGCTTGATAAAATGGTAGGATAGCAATGAAACACTGGTATGATCTAGAACACTTTTGTATGTGAACTGATGATTACATTCCACAGCATCATCCAGAATGAAATGTCCCAGTTGTTCAGAGCTCTATTTGCTTTGGCCTACCTTCTTTCCAGCTGCTTTAGCCATCACAATCAGCCTCACATTGGTTAACATGTCCATTTTCTCTCTCCTTGTCTCCCAAGGAGAGAGGAGAAAGGTGTTAGTGCATCACCAGGTAAAAATAGCAGGAAAATCTTAGCAGTGGTGCCCCATCTGGCAGAACATCTGCATGTCTTTTGGGCTTCTTATTTCTTCCTTGCTGGTTGTTCTAATCAGCCAAGAGGTTCCTGCATTCGACTGCAAGGGCAATTGCCAAAGCTTCTAGTGGGAAGCACACATTAGTGGCACTCAGGACTTCAAAGGGAAGATAAGAGAGGGGGCTAGAAAGCAAGCATGTCATAGATGCTCTTTGTGTAATTTTTCCTTCCCCCTTGCTGGGTTAATGGAAGAGCCCCGTGGAGGCAGTCTGTAATTAAACCATTAGCTGAGTAACTAACTAGTACAGCCTGGCGCTGGTGTTTGAGATGTGGGGAGAGCTCAGCAGACAAGAGAAGGTCGGAGCTGGAAAAAAAAAACAGGTCAACTGAGAATAGCAATACCAGTGGAGGAAAGTAAATGAAGAAGGGATGAAAGAGCTGGGTTCCAGTAGAAAAGGAGATGTCAAAGCCATGGATTTTCACACTGGTAGCCTAGGGAGAAGTTCACTTCAATAAAGACCATAGCCTCCCAACTGCATCTTAATGTGTTTGCAACTGCTAGGACTATGGCAGCGATTTGGTTTCAAGGCAGAGATGCCTAATTGTGGATATCAGAATTGCTCCCAAATGTTTGGCAGCCTGAAATGAAGAACCGGATCCTTTCCACCCACAGTCTACCCAACAGAGGCTGGCTTGTAGCTTCAACACAGCCAATAGAACAATGATTGCTGCTCTGCTACAATGGAGAATAACAGGCTAGTTTAAAGGGATGGTATACTTACGTCTGTTTTCCAGCAATTCACACTCCCTCCCTCCACCCCGCCTCCATCAGTCCTGGTAGGTGTGATCAGAACCTTTGCTAAACACTTCATGAGCAGCATCATATGGTAGAGAAACCTTTGTTTCCACCTCTTCATTTCATTAGCTGTCTTTACTACAGCTTTTTTTGCTACATAGCTGTGATTTTGAATAGAAAGATGATCATAGAGTTGGGTACCGTTGCTAGCTCAAAACCCCAAATATCTGTGTCAGAAGCTTTAAAGGCTCCAGCAGTGTGTGACAATAGTCTGCAGTGACAATGCCAGCCCTTCTTTGGTCTAATTTCCTTTCCTTTCCTTTCGGCCTGGCTGGACTATGGTTTCACTTCTCCACAGCAAGAATGAAGGATAGCTAAAATGACAATTATGAACAAATATGAAACGTCTCTAAGTGGCAGATTAGGAGTTACTTGTTCTTCACATAGGCTGACTCTTCCAAGGTTTGTAGTCCTAAAGAATTAAATTTCACCTCCAAACCTGAACCTGGCAATCCTAAAGGTGGTGTGCAAAGATGAGTATATTTTTAGTAACTGCTGTCCAAAGCTTGTAACCTCCCTCTTTACTCTTACTCCTTCTCACCATTTCTAGCCTTGTCTTCTTTCCCCTTCACCACAAGATGATCCCCTAACCAGATGATAGATGACGACATCTATCTGATTAAACTACAAGAGAGTGCATTTCCATTCCAGAATACCTATGCATGCTTAACTCTCACTGTGGACACATAAGAAAAGATATACCAAGAATAAGAATTGGGCAGAAAGGTAGAACTGGACAGGAAGATGGTCAAGAAGATTTAATTGACAAGAATTGACTTGTTATTCATCACAGAATGCAGAGACCTCATGCTCAAGAAATCATCCATACCCTTGGTGTGTTTATGACTTTCAGATGATGGATAACAGAAATTCTGGACATTCAGGATTATGTGTTTAGTAAGAAAAATGGGGGAATAATCTGGATTTGTGTGTGTGTGAGAGAGAAAGAGACCTCTACTGTCCTCCAAGGTGCCAATTATGTTTCTGTCCACTATTGTTTTATGTGGAACACAGATGGCCATTAGCCTTTTCTATTCAGGTCTCAAGCTCAGTCATGCAGATTGTGAGCCAAGCATTATTGCACATCTGGGTTTTTTTTAGAGACACACAGACAGAGCCTCACTCACACACATACACACAAAGGCAAGGTCGCTATTGGCTTTACGCATCTCCCAAGTGCCAGGCTGGTGTCAAAAGGCTGTAAGAAATGAAGAACCAAAAAACAGCCATTGCTACAGAACCACGCTGAAGTGAAAAGCAGAGAACAGAAAGGTCCTGATGTGGGACAGCTTGGAAGATTCATGGTGAAATCTCCTCCACTAAAACTTTCTTTAGAAAAGTAGAATGCTCATCTCTCACAACAAACTGGATAAGACAGAAATCTCATTAGTACCGTCTGCTTTCTTGCAACATTACACAGGATATTTGTTTGTGGTTACATACTTGTGTACAGTATAGTAATTACACACTGCCTACATGTCCATTTTTTTTTCTTTTTTCTTTTTTACACATCTCTTCAAGTGAGCAACATGATTCCAGGTTACAACATTTATACAAAGTCATAATTACATTTCTAACTTTCTTATCTAATTTCATAGCAAATCATTATCTGTTCCACTGATCTTTAAATAAGTTCTTACTTCATATTTCAATTCATTAATTCAATATCAAAAACATTTCATAAAAAGGGTAAAAATAAAATAAAACTAATAAATTTAGGATCCACATGGTATATCCCCCAGTCTACAATAAATCTTGTATTTATTCCATAGATATTCATATAACCATTTCTTTTTTTTTCTTTGTTTCCACTTAGCCAAAGTTTACCTATTAAATTTTATTAAATTTTCATTCCCCTCCTTCTTAATCATAATATAATACTCTCATTAAAAATACTTTACTTTTCAATATAATCCTTTCTGGTTTACCATATTGTCTATTTTCTCATAACCTTTATATAATCAATTATATTTTCTGTTTCATGTCTAATATAATATGTATACAGAAAGAGAAAAAAAGAGAAAATTAAGTTTCCTTTTTGTTTCCATTTAACCAAGTTTAACCTATAAAATTTTATTTAATTTTCATTCCACACTTTTTGGTCATAACAGCATATTTTTCTAGTTTACCATATTCTCTGTTTTTCTAATATCATTTGAATAATCAATTACATTATATATATGATTTGATAATAATAAAGCCATCTTAATTTCTCTTACTCTATCATCATTTTTCTCATATATAATTATATAATAATCTTAAGGTAATTCCCAATAAGTTTTAAACTTCAAATCTCCCCAATATATTTCTAAAAAAATACCAAAATATATTTCCATGTGGTATCCCCCCTTTATATTATCTTTAACCCTTATCTCTAAATCTCTCGGCCTTATAGTTTCTTATAATTTTGATCAACTTTCCGTTTTCTAAGTTTTTCCGGTCTTTCCTCTTAACTCCTCTTTTTTCCACTAGTATTGTTTTTATTTTCATCTGCCAATCACTTATTTTTCCCCCACCCTTTCCTGTTCTTTCTTTTGGAATTTCTTCTTGTATAGCTTCTTCTTCTTTTGTTTAATCTTGGGAGTATTTTCCCTTTTATTTATTACATATATCATCAATGTCTTAATTTTGATTCTTTTCATGTCTTTTTGCAATGTCCCTCGTTCTTTGTGCTTCTAAGCTGCTTTTCTCTTCCTTTAACTCCTCCTCCTACATGTCCATTTCAAAGTAATGGTTATTACCTTCAAAGTTCTCCACAGCTAGGAGCATGCTTCCCCCAAAGGTATGCTAGAGGCCAGCTGTGACATTTTGCAAGGCTGCAAAAACTGCCTTTTCAGCATAACTTTGACCACATTTTCTTCTTGCTTCTTTTATGCATATGAAGTATTTTTTAATTTGGTTTGTGACTTTCTGCTCCCCCCTCCTATTGTTTCAATTGTCTTTAGCTTTGTTTTATTGTCTAGCAGGCTTAAGACTTGTACATTCTTAAGACACCCATTTTTGCCACTCAAACAAAAAGAAAGTTGTGGCACTACCCATTCTGAAAGATTTCTTTTAAAATTAAGGTTTTACCTATGGTCTGTTGAACTAATTAAAGTAAATTTGTTCAGACACCACACTGAGTTACATGTTACATTTTGATAGGTTCAGATCTCTTGCTAAGTCAATGCCAAAGTAATTTGTTTCTGATAGCAAGAGGAATACAAAAGAACTTTTATTTTAATCTGGTTATAGTTTTATATCCTAAGCAAAGATCCTGACTTAAAACACAGTCCATGGTTTAAAACTGATTAAGGTTTGTTTCCAAAAAGATTTCCTGTTTTAAACTAAGTTAAGATTCCCTTTCTGATGCATGGGAGAAGGGTTCTCCAGGTTTATTTCTCATTTAAATTATTTCACACACAGGCCTAAGAAAACTCAGAGAGTTTGAAAACTCGCATAATAATCTGCCTTTGGCATTCAAATCTTTTCACAAAAGATTTGATTACATATGATTTTGATGAGTATTTCTTCAGTTTTGTTTATTCTTTCATTAAGTTTTCAATATTTGAAAGACTCAGGGTAGGAAACAATTATCAATTCATAGTCAAAGTATCTGACTATGATACTAAAACAAACAGCTAGAGTAGACATCAGAAGGGCTTTAACAAATTGCATGTACTCAGTATTATAATGACCAAGCCTATTTTAAAGCAGTTTTCTCCATATTTTTTCAGAATCCAAATTGTCAAGTTAAAAGCACACAGGTGCAAATGGGAAACTGAGATTACCTCTAATTCTTAATTTAGGCATACAAACTGACACTACCAATCAAATCCGGCTGAGTGAAAACCCAAGAGGGTGATATGAAATAAGATTTAGGACAGAAACCATATGGCTAAGGCGTCAACATTTCCATCACCTTAATTTCTTGACTATGTTCACAGTTCACAATAGTTAAAGTGAAAACTACACTAATTTGCATAATTCATATAGCTCATCATGGGATTCAGTAAAGATTATTTTGCAGGATTTTTGTTAAAAAAATCTATAGGGAATATCAAAACATGTAGCACTTAAAATATATTTGATAGGCCAGTATATATGTGTGTAAGAAGCATCGGTGGTTAAGTATATTAAAAGTATATAAAAGATATTATCAAAGTGGACAAATGCTCAAATGAGTCAAGATACTTGGTTCTAAATGCAGCTGGCTTTTAGTGGTTCCAATAAGTAGTACTCAATTACCTATCGTCCTTTCATTCAAAATCTGAAAACCCAAAGCATTAGAACCAACATGGTAGGCAACTTTCTATGAATTCTGAGCATTTCATATTAGGAAACAAATCTGTTCTCTTTCCTCTTGGCCTTCTTAAATATGGTAGATCTTCAAGGGTATGTTCTTCTAAACCAATAGGGTCACCCAGTACTCTCAGGCTGAGGATGCCCATTCTTCCTCTTGGTAGGAGTCCTGAGACTTCTAATCAACTCTATTCTCCCTAGTGACAGTCACCCAGTCTAAAAGATTGAAATATGACACAGATGGTGGTATGTGGATCAATTTTTTAAAAGAATAAAAATAAAATATCTTCAGCCATTCCTTCCCCTCCAGGAACTTTAGAATTGAAATAGTACTTGAGGGATAAGGGATGTTGGATTCCAAAAGCAGGAAATATTTAATATTATACAAAATTGAATGTGCAAATGTCATACAATCACTGATGAACATTCTCCTCCCCAATTAATTTAAGCAGGACTATATACAAATAATGAAAGGAAATCATACCTTATTTTAAGGAGTACCCATTACATCCTCATCCATTTCCCCCCTTTTCTTTTAAACCAAGCTGGTAACTTTCAATGCATTTTTTCCTGCATTCTAAATCCCTTTTCAGAAACCTTTTAGGACATCTATGGGGATGTAAAAGACGTGAAGTCTATGGGGCAAACCAAAGCTGAAGAAGACAAGAAGCAATGGATAGAAACTAATCAAGGAGAGAACCAATTTGAAGGAAGGAGAAATTTCTGAACAGAACATTAATCAGTGGAATGAGTTGCCTCCAACACTGGAGGTTTTTAAGAAGAGATTGGACATCCATTTGTCTGAAATGTTTTAGGGTTTGTTTCCTGCTTGAACAAGAGGTTGGACTAGAAGTCTCCAAGGTCCCTTCAAATTCTGTTGTTCTGTTATTCTGATAATCAGGATTCCTGTTCTTAATCCACTGAGTGTATATCACATGTATGAGCAACATATGATGGTATTTTGGAAAGCAACTACTACTTAGCCAATACGTGAAATATATTAATAAACTGCATATTAGAACAATCAATCTCTTTTTTTTTCAACTTTATCCCATCTAGGATCTTTAGATGTACTGTATTGGACTACAACTTCAGTCATCCACACCAGAATGACCATCACATCTGGAGGGTGTCTTGAGAAAGCTGCTCTAACCATAATATGGGGAAAATATGCATGAGAGGATGAACTAGAAGCATTTGTTGAGCTTTCATTAGCCAAGATGAGAAGAAACATGACAGGAAGACTCAACAAGCTTAAAAACAGAAGATCGACATCAACTGAGGAAAAAGGTTGGTCATTTTTCTCCCTATCTGCCCTGTCCAAGATTTGATAACAAATCTGATCACACACCTCCCTCCCCCAGATTCTCTTACCCAACAGTTCTTTTCAATTGTCTTAAAAAGGCTTTGGTTGGAAACCCACTGCTAGACAAGGTTTCCTTCTTAATGTTCACTTTTCCTGTACTTGTTACAAGTAAGGGATGCCTACCAGAAAAAAATGATAGCAGTCACAGTAGTTGCTAGAAGTGTTCAAAAACCTTCCAAGTGCACAAATTCAGTATGAGCACCAAAACGGCCTGCTAATTTTGCAGAAAACTGTGTCACTCCACAATGTACACATCTAACCATCTATTACTAGAACCGAGTCTCCCAAAAGCAGCTTCAGGTTATTTGCTTACAAGGTTTATAATGTTAACATGCTCATTCCTTTTGCTGCTCATGTTTTCTCACCCCCATGGCCTTAGAACTGGAATTCAGCAACTGTCCAAAGAGCAGTGCCATAGTACCGGGATCTCCTTTGCATTACTAAAGCCTCTTCTTACTAGTTAGGAAGAAGAAGTGATATTAAATACAATTTGATCAGGTACCTCTATACAGGAGACAAAGAGACAGAGATTTCAATTGTAAACACTGTGTATTTCTAAATGAAGCAGTCCTGCTTTTTAGTACTTAATTGGAAAATATTTTGACATTGTCAAGGAAAGTGGCTAAACATTATTCTAAAATTCTTTTTACTGTTTATTGTGAAAGGAAAATAAAAGGTTTTATTTTAGAAGTTGCAACAGAATTGACATTTTTCATTTTGTCTACAAAAGAAAGGGTTGCTCTTCCTCAGCTTTTTCTAGTGTCGAGTGGTGCAGGCTCATGAATTAATTCATTGCAAGGCCTGTCCTGTTTTGGAAGCTGCTCTCCTTCCTGAGGGATGTCAAACCTCTGCTCCCCTTACCTTGTGTGGCTGAGGTGACAAGGACAGTGGTGATGCACAGGCTCCAAAGGGCATGGATGAGCTGGGCCATCCTGCAGTGAATGCTGGAGTTGTCAGCGACCAGGAGCCACTCTGTTCATCCCCAAGGAGGGTAAATCACAGCAGGCCTGGCGGAGAAAGAGGAGAAGACTTGAGTCAGGAATTAGCACAGGGGTGAGTTATTACCTGCTGTCCTTAATCTGCCTCCTATAGAAAACACACTAACATTATTTTTCCTGCTCTAAAAGATACACCTTGTGGTCCTTAATCAACCTCTCCATTCTTTGGCCCTTCAGATTGACATATCTATCTCTTCCCAGAAAAATTAGAAGCCTTTTATGAAACCCTGTCTATCCTCTCTAGAAGAGGATATTTGAAGAATCAAAACACTGAACTGGAATTACTGTTTTTATCCAAAGGACATGTACCCCCAAAGAGTAGTTTTTCCCCTCAAGAATACTTTCATCAGAACATACTGTGCAATAACATGAAACCAATATCTCCAGACAAGAAGTAGCTGGAATCCACAAGGATTCGTTTCTGGCCATGGCTAAAAAATGATAAAAACATTTGAAGCAGATTCTCCTTATATCTCTCTGTTTTTCCAAAAGATAACTTGTTTCTCTACAGGGGTTTTTCACCCACTTCCTCATTCACACATCTCAAAACTTAAGACATTCCTGCAAAGAATCTTCAACAAAACACAGCTATTTATACTCCCATTTAACTTCAAAAACCACATAAATGGTTTATAAATGTATCCTCCATTGAATGCCTCCAAATCAAATGTTTACCAAAGACTGATGTCAGGTAGAGATGCATTTTTTCTGAGTTCTTAAAACAAAGGAACAGTGGTAACCTTTCTAATACTTGAAAGCTAAGGGAACTTTACTGCAGTGGTTTTCATTTTTTAAAAAATGATATTAAGAATGTGTAAAAGAAAAAAGGAACAGTGGAGAAATATTCAGAAAATTAAAACAAGGAGTTAATAAATGAAATGTATAAGGGTCATAAACAAGATTAGAATTTTCAATATTTTGTTAATTGGATTCATGTAATTCATGAAAATATCATATCATTTTAAAAACTACAGATGGTTCTTAAAATCCAAGTAATACATAAATATTATCACTATAGTAAGCAAAGTATATATATCTTAAAATAAGATTCGAAGTTACTATAAGTTCTACCAAGTTTTTGAATATTTATTTTGATTTAATAGATTCTTTAAAGTCAGAATATTAAGACTTTATATTAAGGGAAACTCAAATTTTGGATAGGATACATATATAGAAGTATAACTGAGTTAAATTCTGTCAGATTTGTTTTTAAGATACAGACTTATATTGGACATTACGAGATATTCTATCAGAAAGTAAACCATATTTCTATCTTTCATCTCTTGTAAATAAAAACAACAACATCAAGAACACTTTTCAGAGTTTCCCTGTCTGCTAAGAAATTTTTGTATCTGAGACATGGAAGCAGTTGTGCGTTGTGAAGAGGCTGGAGGCACAAGAGAGCATCAATCTAGTGTATCCATGACATGTGCCAGACTTTCTGGATCTAGCAGTCTCCTTGTGTGAACTGAGTATGGGTCCTGGAATACACCCAGCAGTTTTGGTGGAAACTTGTCAACTACTGACAATTTTGTCCTGAGTAAAACTGAACAGCTTCCAAGGAAACTCAGGATCCTTCAAAACATCATTTTCAAAGTCGTCTTCAGTTTGAATTGTGCCTTTATTCCCCACCTCCCAAGATAATTTGGTTGAAATCATGTTAACAAGGACTCACTTTAAAAAATAAAACTCTCCCGAGGCACCTCACCTCCCAAACCCCATGAAAAGTCTCTTCAGTACTCTAGCATTATTCAAAAATTATCAGTAGTAATATTGATAAATCTTATCATAGTAATATTGGTAAATAAGACTGAACAAAATAAGGATTTTTTTTCTTTGCAGCCTTCTACAGATTCCTTCGGTACAGTATTTCTTCAATAAAGGAATGGGCAAATTGAACTTTGTGAGGCTATGAAATCCATGGTTTGGCTTGTAAAGTTCAGTGGCATGGTTGCCAAATTATGCAGTGTGGTTTTCCATCTTTCTGTGGCAGGAATTGCTGGAGCTCTAATATAAATGAAACACCATTAATCCTGCCATTCAACTGGCTCAAAATTTGGGTGAGGGAAAAGGATAAATTCTGGCTCTGTGTGTGACAAGACCACACCTGTTTGGGGTGTGATCAGACATCATCTATATGCAACGAAATTTCATTTTAATGTATGCTGATTAGTGTACATTCAAAGTGACAATAAATTTATTATTCTATTCTATTCTATTCTATTCTATTCTATTCTATTCTATTCTATTCTATTCTATTCTATTCTATTCCATTCCATTCCATTCCATTCCATTCCATTCTATTCTCCTGGCAGCCTGGTCAGTGGCCGTACCAGCATCAGTCCTGGCACAGGAAAAATCAAGATCTACGTTTGACTGTTCATGGTGCTTAGAGCTACCATGTCTGGGTGTCCCAAAGATGCTTTTCAAAAGGCAACTGGATTTTCTTGAATTTTTTTCCCCTTGAAAACATTTAACTTCTCATGCAAAAAGTTTCTTCAGAACATTCCCCACTATACAGACAGAATTGAGAATCTCTATAGATATTTACCATGTCTGGGCTGCA